TCAGATTGTTGTCCATCAAAAACTGTATTTTACACAAAACGAGTACATACTAGAGCACATTCCACGAAATCTAGATTATTATGTTGAATTTGACCCCATAAGAGTGGAGGTGTAATAAAAAATCATTGTTGACGGGTAGATGTAATTATCCAAACAAGAGAGATTTTTTTATAAACTGACCATACCTCAGGTGATGGTTGTAATTTACCCTATATTTTTATAAATAAATAATCTCAAAATTACAAATGGGGTTGTCTTGATCATGGGCCTTGGAGAGCTCATCGGCCCATTTGTCTGAGAATCTGCATGCAAACTTGGTTTTTTTTATGTACTTATAAAATCTAATCAACTTTTTATTATATACATTGAATCACAAAATCTAGTGAACTTTATGTACACTTACTCCAGGTAGATGCAATTTGCAATTATGAAATACACATTTAATTGTGTTTTCAATAACTAGATCACACCTATTTTTCTATTACCTCTTTTTCCACGATTTAATTATTTAAATTTTGAAAAAAAAATGTATTAAAACAAGGAAAAAGAGTTGAGCAAAGCCCATTCGCACACGTGTACAACAAAGTATTCTCTCACTCATCAAAATTCAAACATGACTTCCATTGAAGTCTAAACCCGACAAAGCCGCATTCCGACATCATAGAGAACCACAAGTAAGACTGAGAGTGCAAGTTCCACTACCAAACTTCCAGACAAAATGGAAAAAAATATTAAAAAAAAATTACATTAAATGATTTTTTTTTTCTTTTGTTATTTAATAAGAAAATTAAATGAGTTGGCACATTACTCAAATTATGTATAGAAATTTAAAATAGAAAATAACAAGACAGTAGAGGAAAAAAAAATTAATGCTGCGTCAGTCAGACGAGTTTTACACTATAGATCTACATATAGTCACACGCGCGTACAACTATTTACACCGGAAAAGAGAAGAAGAATATCTACTACATGAGAAAACCTTAGTTTAGAAAATCATGGTTAATGCCCTTCACATGTAGTTAGTTTAATTTAACCAGTGTAGATCTCTACATTGGCATAGCTTTGTTACAGTTGCACCACATAAAAGAACAATTAAACATGAAATTTATAAGAATCGTTGCCGTTCGTCAAAAAGAAATTTAAAAAAAAAAAATTGGAATATGTCGGGAGTTACTTGCAATCCCACTTTAACCATACATGAAATACAAGAGAATCCTGCAAAAAAAGGAAATAATAATCAGTGTGAAGCGGTTCCGTTTGTTTTTCATTAAAATACCTGGGGTTGTTGATAAGACGAACGTTCTCACCTAACAGTATAGTAGAACAAAAAGAAAGCGATCACGAAATATGTCGCAAGTTTGCAGATTCTCCTATTTGATTTCTTTTCAAACACCTACCGAAAATCGTCAAATCCAACTTCAGGAAAAATAATCTAACAATGAACAAAATAACAACTTTTAAATTAAGAGGAATTTATTTAGATTACCATTTTAAACCGATCCATTGTTCCTGACATGATTCCTCTAGAGGCGTCCATCTCGTTTCCCTACTCAGTAAAAATAAATTCAATAGCACGAGCAAAACTTTCGCCAATAGAAATGTGCTTTTTTTTTATGAACCAACATACCATCCATGAATTAACATACCGTTCGATCTAGCATACGGTTGTGACTTTCCACCTCCTCGTGAATATCCCCTGTCAACTGCCACAAGGGACAGTACAGATATTATGAACTTAACTTATGCAATAAGTTACCAAGGTAATAACACTACCAGATTATATGAGATCGGCCCACTTCGAAATTTTAGTTAAAATTTCATGTTTAGCAAAAAAGTTTAATCCATCGTCTCTCAAGTCTGAGGTCCAAATGCGTCATTCAATGGTTAACTAAACCATGAAAATAATACCAACAATTATACGAACAATGGTGACAGTGGTAAATTACTTATGCAGGCATGAGAAAATATTCATATAAGCTTAAAAAATGCAACGAGAGAAAATTCTTGATTCTCACTCTTTTTAAAAAGCTGACTCTGTCATGCAAACTGTCCATAGTCTTCTCGTTCTCATGTTCATCAATACCACTTGAATAAGAAGAAGAGGACCTAAGACCGCCCTCTTCAAGGCTATCCAGGTTATCGAAGAGTGCAGCCCTTGAGGATCGGTTATCCCTGCGTGAAAATAACTTCATCACGATCACGAACTCCACAAGATACAACACATAATCCAGTGTACACTAAGTAAGAAAAACATAAGGATGTTAAACTTTTGTATCCTCAATTTTCATAATTGCAAAAAGAACCCCCCCCCCCCCCCCCCCCCTAGATTTTATTGAGTCAGCACAAATCACCCCATTTAAGTTTTATTGCATGTACATCCATCGGGATGATTTAAAAACGGGGGCACTCGTGACTTTGTCCCCACTGTAAGTCGAGACTAAATCTGTTAAACGATTGTCATAGAAACACCACTTATTCTCTTGATCTAAGCTGTTAGATCTTATTGAGCATAAAATCAATGATTGAAATTCTATCTCTATCACTTCGGCAAAAGAAAAAAAAAAAAGAAGATCCAATCCATTGATTTCAATCTGCAGACCAACAATCGCACTGTTCTTGGAATCGAACGCCTATGGATTTGCACTCAAAATAAAGCAAATGAACTAAGAAAAACACTCTATCCTTAGAAGTGATTTGTTCTAACAAGGGTAATAAACTAAACAATCAAAGTTTCAAATGGATTCTTCCCACCAATTTCAATTCACACACACACACGGCAAAAACGAATTTCATTCTTTTATCAGAAGACCTAACAATCATTCTTCCCACCAATTTCAATTAATACACACACACACACACACACACACACACACACACACACACACACACACACACACACAAAAAAAAAAGGCAAAAACGAATTTCATACTTTTATCAGAAGACCGAACAATCATTGATCACAGAATTGAAATCCTATCATGTTAGAACAATTGAAAGTACACTAATATCAAACCTAAAATAGAATCAAACCTAAAATTTCAAATCGATCACCATCCTAAATAAAACAAACATTAAATTCAAAAACAGAAGAGATTATTGCAAAATGCAGATAAGAATTCATACTAACCTCCGGTAACTCATGATAATTGAACTCCAAAACAGTCAATCGAGCAGAATGAAAACGCGAATTGGGGAAATTGGGCGAGAATAGAAGATCTAATATAAATTGAATAATTCAAAATAATCTGGGGGTAGATATCTGTAATCAGCTGCTCCGCATCAGGTTGTGGTTTCGTGAACCGGAAACGCGAGTTGTACGTTGCACCGAAAGTTGTACGTTGGACCATTGCACCGGATGTACAATGCGCTAATGCAATAGATTCTCCTATTGTCCTCTCTACAGTTGCGTGCAGTCTCAGTAAAGTCGTGTTGATAAATTTGCCGAAAGTGTAGGCGCTACTTTTTTTCCCTTAATAAATGTAAAAGAGGCGCAACAGATTCTTTTTCCATTATTATCTCTCAAATAATTTAAAAATTAATAATAATAATAGATTTATTGAATCTTGTTTTAATTAATTTATTTGATAATGAATTATATGAATTTGTTTTTCCAAATATCAGGCTAACAAAAATGAATTTATTTGTATGTTATGAGTATGAGAAGTAATTGTAACTTTTGAAAGAAAATATTTATCTATTTATCCAGATTTTTTTCAATTGTTGCGTCAACAGTTGAGTAATTGACATTTTGCACCCTCAAATAATATGTTATTGCCACTTTGTATCTTTGAATTAAAAAATTAACAAAATGCACCCTCTGATTATCAATTTCTTGGCAAAGTGCACCCTAGAAACTAGTTCTTGACCACCTCTCTAGAGAATTCTTTCTTTTGTGTGTGTGTGCGTGTGAGAGAGAGAGAGAGAGAGTTCTTGATCGTTTCTTAACACTTAATTTAACACTTAATTAGGGGAAAATCTGCTAAAATTACGTTTAAAACGGCGACACTGCCACTTTTTTTAGGTAAAATGTGAATTACGGTGCACTTCGTCACGAAAGTGTAATCGAAATGTGCATCCCCCTATTGTTTCAATTTAAGGGCTCAAAGTGCCAATGAGATGTAAATTGAGGATGCAAATTGCCAATCACCGTCAATTTTTCGGACAATTTTTTTTTTTAGTTGCTACAGATATACCGGTCGAATGAACCAACTCTCACTAGAACAGTCGTTACCTAACATCTACGATGTTCAATTGACTCCTTCCATAAGACAATGACCTCATTTTCTACATTGAAGACCCAATTTTTATTACTCAACCATCCAATTGCAAGATACCTTAATTAATGTCTTGGAGTTGCCCCAAACGTTATGTAACCCAATTGTGACAATTCAATATTTTGAACAACTAGTATTCATTCTTGAAAACCAATATGTAATAATAAGTACATTAATACTCATTATTGAAAAACAATATGTAATAATATGTAATAATATGTAAATATTTTGATTTTTTATCATTGCACATATTCACAGAAATCAAAAGATACTTCAAATACCATACAATAATAAACTTAGTGTAATATCCAAACTTGTCATTCAAAGATAACATACTAAATCAAGTACATTAAAAAAATCCAACCAATTATAGTATTTACACTACCTACAAGAACAAACTACCCATCTAAGTAAGTTTCATCCTACAACAATGGAGACAAAAAGAAAAAAAAAATCAAGGATCAAAACGAGCCACCAATCCGCGATTGCCACGTCACGCAGTCCTCAAAATCGAAACTACTCGCGCAGTCCAACAAAGCATTCTGCTGCTGCTCGTACCGGCATATATAATTCAAGCCAACCAGAAGCCGACAAATGGCGTCCTCCGTCTTCGCCCGGTCGGCAAAGTAGAGCGTCTGCACAAGGAGCACGTTTGTCCTTGTCACAATCTGCCTCTGCTCGAAGTTCCTCTCGCTCTGCCACCTCATCATGTTGTGCGCCAGCGGGGCGAGCCACCTCAGCACCCCACTTAGCCTCTCCCTCCAATCGTGCGCCACCGGCGCATCATATATCTCCAAATCCTTCACGTAATTCCTCAATTCGCCCTTCAGTTTTTTCCTCACACTCGTGGGAAGCATTTGATACAAATCATCTCTCGCTTCTTCGCCCACTAAATGAGGATACATAAGAAGCTTCTCGATTATTATTATTATATTCGCGTAGTGCAACGGCAATGCCGACCCACCGACCGTGCTTGCCGGGGCCCACCTACTCGTGGGCGGGGCCCGCACACCGTTCGAAACCGGCCGGGAAAAACTATCGGAAAAGGTGGAATGTTTACTGTCGCACTTCGAACTATTCGCCACAGTACTAAAAGATCCCGATAGTTGACTTCTTTGACCATCATCATCAAAATCATCGTCGTCCACTTTCGAAGCAGAGCTGCTTAGGGTTATACATTCCATGAAGAACCGACCCGGCCCGATACCGCAGGCGAAGTTGAAATCATCCGGGCCAAATAAACCCGACCCGTTTTTCTCTGGGCCCGGTTTGGGCCTCCTCTTGTTCGAAACGGGCTTTTTCAGATTTCCACTAGAACCGATTCTCGACCTTGATATCAACACGCTCGAAGCATCCCTACTACTGTTATTATTGCGGAATACGATGTGTATACGGGCGTAAACCGTGCAGACGGTGCGGCACAAGAGCTCGACGATTTTATCGTAGGTTTGGTTCCACAAGGAGATGTCCTTCAAGTGTTTGATGTCTTGCCTCTGCCACGTAAGCTTCTGCTCGAAGGCTCTCCGGCTGGTCTCGTGGTGGTGGTTCTGGTGGAGCTTCTTGGCGGCGGCCTCGAGCTCGTCGGCGGCCGCCATTTCTCGGTAGAGGGTGACGGTGGACCCGACGTAACGCTCCATTTTTCGGACGGTGGAGTCCATGTCCTTCACCAAGAACCCCAGCTCGCTGACGTCGATGGCGCCGGAGATGATGTCACCGTACACGTGCTCGAAGCCCTGAAGTGCCGGGACGGTGCATTTCTTGCCGAGTCTGGATACGACGGCGGCGGCTCTGTTCAAGTCGTCGAGTTTCTCGAGGAGGGCGAGGTGGAGGAGGTGGTCCGGGTCGCCGGAGATTAGGGTTTTGATGCCGTCGGAGTTCAGGATCTCGTTCTTCAGGTTGAGGAAGTCGTGCTCGGATAACGATTTGTGGAGATTCAGGATCTTCGACATCACATTAGCCACTTCGAAAGAGAGTATGCCGATGATTTGCCGGTCGTGCGGCTTCGTGTTCGACGATTTCGTGGAGCCGTCGAGGTATAAAGCGTGTTTTAAATTGGTACTGACCTGATTGCCGATTTTCAGAATCCATGGCTCGGCCACCATTTCTGCACCTTGTTTTCGCAAAAACAAGATCTGAAATTAATCAAAAAACCTCACTTCAGATCTGGCAGCAATTTCTCTCCATTCGCCTTCGAATCAACAAATTAAGCCAGGAAGATAAACGCAGCAGCATTCTTCACTCACGGAAACACATTACAGAAACACCGATTGGATTATCAAACAGTAAAAAAAAAACCCGAAATAATAAAATCCAGAGACGAATTGGTTTGGAATTGATTTGTGAAACAGAGGCGAATTGAGGGGGTTTTGAATCGATACTGAAAAAGGTGCGCGTTTTCCGATGCTCTAATTTTCTTTTCTCTCTGTGTGCGTGTGTGTGTGTGTTAGAGAGAGAAAGAAGAGAGAGAGTTATTCAAAAAGGGGGGGCAGTTTGAAGGAGATGGAGCTCAGAGTAAGAGGTCTGCAAAAATGCTGCTTCTCTCTCTCTCTCTTTAGGTTTTTCTGACTCCGAAGAACAATCCTTTTGACCTTTACTAATTTTTTATTATTTTTTTTTTTTTTACAGGAAGATGAAAATTTGAATTAATAATTAAATAGTCAAAACTTGTTTGAATATTTAAAAAATAAAAAAATAATAATAATAATAAGATGAGTTCTTGTGTACTAGTTGCATTGATGAACACATGGAGGGCTTTAATGGGGGGAACAGGTCCAGCCTTTTACTTAAGGGTCTTTTATTTTATTTATTTGTTTTTTGGGGGGTAGATGGTGAATAATTTATTTTATTTTTTGGCATTTATGTGGGTTTTTTTTTTTTTTGGCGAAAAAGAAAATTAACCGTAGAAGTGTGAGGTAGAAGGCTTCTTACGTTGGTCCACTTTGTGAAATTCAATATTTTTTATTTAAAAAATGTTTATTAAAATACTATTTTAATTTTTAAATAATATATATAACAATTATAATAATAATAAACTAGTGGGTGAAATTTGTTTGAAAACGAACACACACATATACACGACACGAAACAATGAAGAACCCATGTCAAAATTGGTGTAGACAAAACTTGTATTCATTCAATTTATCTATGTACTTTGAGAAAAAAACATATTCAACGACCATTCTTTTTCAAATCAAAGAAATTTGAATTTTTTTTATTTAAATTATTAATTTGAAGGCTACATCAACTGAATTTATTTTACGGCTGATCTACACACATCAATGTATGTATACATTTGTATATATATATAAATGGCTAAGATCTGTCCATAACATAATAATAATAATAATAATAATAATAATTATTATTATTATTATTATTATTATTATTATTATTATTATTTAGTTAGGAACTTTGTCTAAATTTGTGTGTCACTTTGTCAAAAAAGTAACTAATAGTTGGAGTTGGTGACTTTCTTACGACATTAGATGAAAAATATCCCAAAACAAAAACAAATGACCAAAAGAGAAACCTAAAACACTTGAAAATTAATAGTTTAATTAATTGTGGATTTGTTCAAATGTCTTTCAAATTTCAATAACAACTACAGTAGAACTTCGATAAATTAATAATTTTTTGTTGGTGTCGACTGAATTAATTTTTAGATGTTTAACCGTATATTCAATACTGATTGAGAAAAATAAAAAAATAATATAGATTTTAAAATATTCTTATCCCACATTTTCCCTAAGGTATATTAAAATATTAATGGAGAAGGTGGCCTTCGTTTTTGTCTTCATTTTATGTTCTAATGAAATGACAAAGTACATGTTAGAAGCACTTATGGACTGTATAAAGTGATTTGCAACCACATGGTATTTAGATGCTAATAAAAGTTAAAGGCACGACTGAAAATGAAATAAAGCAACAAGAAACAAAATTGGCCTTGTATGTAACGTTATCAAATCTCTTCAAATCGGACCATTTTAAACTAAATTCATACAAGTGGTCTAGTACATTGACTTTTTTTTTTTAAATAAATAAATTAGTTTTGTTAGAAAGCTCAGATCGAAAATCAGAATTTCACAAATTGAATATATATATATTTTTTATTTTTTTCTAATTAAATCGGATTTCTTTTTATCTAAAACAGTGAATTTGGAGGGCGGTGGTATCAGAAACATCTGGATTTTATTTTAAAATAAAAATTTGATCGAAAATCAAAATCTCGTATGTATTTCAATTCCAATCAAAATAAAATTAAATAATCGGAAATTTTGGAATTTGTATAGAAATTAATTTCCAAATTTGAAAGTTTTTTAATCCCTTAATACACAATTTTTTTAAAATTGCGATTCCAATTTCTACCCTTAGGTCAAATCATTGATCTAACATACTTGTGCATGTAAAAGTAAGTGCGTACATTATTAGAATTATTGTTGAAGCATGAATTATTTATAATGATGGATGCAAATATGCAACTACATGTCTTTGTACTAAATCCTTTTGGGAGAAATAATTATTACCTTAAATCTGTGAATCTTTGTCACAACTTTTCACTAACAAAGCCAAAAAGAAGCACATTTCTTTTTAATTAAAGAAAAAAAAAAAGTAAAACAAAAACAAAAAGATAATCATATTATCAAGAAAAAGAAATGTGCAGTGTTCGTAGCACATTCTTTGAGGAGCTTCATTCAAGTACCCTGCTATTAATGAGTAGGGAGAAAGTAAAAGAAAAAGGTAAAAGAGAAAAAGGAAAATAATAAATAAATTATTAATATATATATATATAAGCTTATTTAAGAGAAAAAAAATGAATTCAATTGGCCCAAATTGTAAGTCTTTTAATTGCTGTAAATTTTGAGCCTCTGAACAATTAGTGGGCCTTCGTGGGCTTTTTAGCCCGCCCTCGAACGAAGCCTACTAGCAGAAATTGAAATTAGTGAAAATTCATCAATGATTAAAATAAAACGGGGAATTTACAGTTTTCACCCTCAAGTTTGCATCGATTTTACATTTGGTATCCCATGTTTACAACAAATACATTTGGTCCCTCATGTTCTAATAATTTAATAGTTTTGGTTATTTCAGTTAGTTTAATGTTAGTTAGTTAGTTAAGGCAGTGATGACACACGCTTGATTTTGTTAGTTTTAACGGAAATTTGACGGAATGCACTAAAAGTGTTGAATTTTTGAAATATAAGGGACCAAATGTGTTGTTTGTGAACGTGAAAGATCAAATGTTAAATCGGTGCAAACTTGAGGGATGAAAACAATATTTTTTTTTATAAATAAAATCAACGATCGTTAGGTCAAGTTGGTCGCACATGATTAGCGTAACGATCAAGTTTGTCGCACATGATAAGCGTATAATGGTTTACGTATCTCTTCTGATTTACAATTTATGATACAATGTTGTTTTTTGAATTTTTTTAGAATCGAAATACTTAACATAAATAATAATAAATTCTCTCTTGACAATGGTATATGTTGTATTTATGTAACAATAGTCGTAATTCAATTCATATGAAAGGTTATATGATTTACCCATAATTTCAAATTAACTCCTTGCATTTTATACTTTGAAATTAATTTTTCTTTCTAATTTAATTTGATTTAACTTCACATTATTAAATTTAAAGTAATTCTTAAATGTATCAAAACACAAAACTGCAGCAAAGGTCACTGTACCAACAGAAAACCCCCCCTTAAAAATTGGAGGGCAAAAAAGGAACATAAGATTACCAACTATCTATCTAAGCTTCCTGTACAAACAAAGGGCAAGAACGGAGGAGCCGGCTCATAGCAAAACGGCGCCGCAGGGTGCTGCCACTTCTTCATAACCGCCGCCGGCTTCTCTGCCACAGCCGCCGATCCCTTATCGCTGCTCGTACAAGAGTTGATCTCAGCCTTCAGATTGTCCGGCGACTGAACCAACGGCGATAAAAGCGGTATAGCCACCTTCCACTCCGGCACCGGGTTGATCTGAATCGACGGCGGCGCCCTCCTCTGCAACCGGCTCGATTGACGCCGTCCTGACAGATTCCGATTTCCAATACAAGCCATTTGAATCAGCTAAAAAATTCCTCCAAAACAGAAAAGAAAAAGCAAATTGGGAATTTAGAATTTTTTTTTTTTTAGCAATTTGTAGCAGATTAGATCTGAATTCTGGAGGGGATAAATTGTTGATTGGGTGGTGAGATTTGGGGAGTGAGGATATTATTTATATAAACAAGATGCACGTGAGCTGCACGGCTTTTCGATAAACAGTCATCGGAATCAGGTTTTAGGTCAAAGCAAAGGTTGTCGTTAAGATTCGAATAAAGATATATAATATATCGGCTCACGTTGTTCTATCGGCTTGGCTAAATGTTGTCTATTACTATATATTTTTCTTATATAAAAAAAAATTATCACTAACAATAAAATAAAAAATTGTTTCACTACTTTGAGTTTTTTTTTTTTTTTTTTTTTTATGAAATTTCAATTCTCATGATCTAATTTTTGCGTATTTCTATACTACATTCGATGAAGGTTGTATGGAGTAAATTTTTAACGCTGATCTATGCATATCAATGTCGTTGTGTGTGTTTGCGTGTATATGAATGACAAAGATCTACTTGTTACATTTTCGTCCGATGTAGCATAGTATAAACCAGTATATATATATAAATAAACTTAATATATGTCAAACTCTAAAAAGTTGATTTTTCTTCAAAATTAAAATCTTCTTGAATTTTAAATGAAAAATCAATTATTACTAGGGGTAAATATGAACCTATGATTGAAATAAATAAATCATTACTATCTATAATAGAAAACAAAATAAATGAGACAAGAATAAAGTACACATTTCGTAGTTCGCTACCGCGTACCGCGTAAAAAATTCAAATACTGTAACAAATATATATATTCTATATTTAGGAATTTAAAACGAAACCAATATTTTTATTAAAGTACACTAAATAAAATTGTATGAAAAAATTAAGTAGATAAATTACTAAAAAGAGAGATTTATTCAAGCTTTTTACTTTGGCTTGGACAGCCGGTGAGCTACTCAAACGGCGCCGAGCTGAAGAATCCAGCTAATGACAGCTACTTTCCAACTGAAAGGCTAATATTGCTTTGACCAGAACGTTTCTGACGTCTATTTGTAACGGAATATTCGCCACAGAGACTGCATTGCCCTACTAAAAGCACACAAAAACAGATACGGCGTCTAGTATTGACGTTAACAAGGATATTTAGAGAAGATGAACGATTCAGATGTTTCCACGTGGCAACCTATATACCATTATATATGCTCCAGATTTTTTCCCTTTAATTCTTATCAACAAATAACAATATCGTCTTTCGATTAATTTCAACTAATGAGTAATTTACTTGCACGTATAAACTTCAATTATTTTTATCTAATTGCATTTCTTTATAATTATTTTATATATTTTACTCTTTTTATATTATTTTTTTAATTATAAAAAATTCAAAATTCAAACCATTTAATCTTCAAAATTCTCTAAATTTTAACGATCAATATCATAATGGCAATTAAGTTATACAATCTTTTGTGGTGTGAATTTGTATATCAAATATGTATGCTATTTAAGTATGACTAATAAATTTTATTATAAATGTATATTATATTTAAATAATTTATTCTTTTTACTTTTAAAATAATATCCCGTGCTATAAAATGTGCTATAAAATGATTGCACGAGGAGAAATACTAGTGTGTTTAATTTGTACACCATTTTTTTTTTGTGCTATATTTACTTGTTGTTTATAATTTAGAAATCGATTAACTTCTAAACCCGGGTTAAGAAGTTTTATTAACTACTAAACATGGGTTCGGCCCAAGTTGCTGTTGATTTAAACAGTAGTATAACAAATTTGAGGTCCACATTTCCAAGACAAATTTGAGGTCCACATAACTAATTATGATTTCTTTTTCTATTTTATTTAAATTACCCAAAAAGGTAAGGATGAAAAGAAGAAAAACTAAAATCGAATGTGGTGGGGGTAGGGTTGGAAATCAGATGAAACGGAAACTATTTCGGAAAAAATATTTTTTTTAGAGCAACTCCAACGGGAGATATCAAAATGGAGCATTAAATATTTATTTAATACTTTGATACTCTTGAAAAAAAATTCACTCCAACCACAAGTATCAAATAAATTATCAAATTTTAAGTATATGAATAATTATATTTTTAAATGCCACGGTGTCAAATAGTGATAGGTTAATCGGGTGGTTATATTTTTGATACCTCATTTTTCAGGGAGTATTTTTGCACCTCGGGTTGATTGAGTATCAAAATGATTCTCACTTTAATGCCTCAATTGGAGGAGGATTTTTTAGTTTTGGAGTATCAAAGTGGCAGTTTTTTAGTTTGATACTCCATTTAGTGCCTCCATTGGAGTTGCTCTTAGGAGGTTCGAGTTTTAGTTTCAAAAAAGGCGGAATTCAAAGATCTATTCCAATTTTGGAATGTTTAGGAATCGGCAGAATTTAGGAATTTTATAAATTAAATTAATTTATAATTTCTTGTTCCAAATTTGGATATAATGAAAAAAAAATTATTTAAAAATTTATTTATTTATTCAAAATTTGCCAACAAAATACAATAAAATCCAAAAGTGAGTACAATAAAAATGCAATAAAACCACTAACTGGTGCAACGAAATACAACACATATGGTATGTTTGTTTCTATTTCCAAAATCAATTTCTAGTTTTATACTATTCATAAAACTGAGATCATGTTCGTTTGATAGTTTTATCCAGAAAATCCCATTTTTTCTTTCTCAAATTTCTATTGGAAATACACTATTTATATTTTTTTTTCAATTTTCAAACCTACTAACTAACCTATATATTTTATTCCACCAACTCATTTTTCTCTCCTTCTATTCATCACTACTCATTAATATTTACACTCTCTCCTCTCATTTCTCTCTCCTCATTAATATCTACACTCTCTATCCTCCCACTTTCTCTTTCTTCTTCTTCTTATAATAATAATAATAATAATAATAATAATAATAATAATAATAATAATAATAATAATAATAATAGTAATAATAACAACAACAATAATAATTAATTATTATTATTATTATTATTATTATTATTATTATTATTTTTATTATTTATTGTAGAAGTAGTAATAATAGTAATAATGGTAATAGTAATAATAATACTAATAAATAATAAAATAATAATAATTATAAGAATAGAAGAATATCAACAATAATAATAATAATAACAACAAAAATAATAATAATGAAAAAAAAATCAACGTATAATAATAATAATAATAATAATAATAATAATAATATTGTTATTAAAATAATATTCATTGTAGAAGTAGTAGTAATAATAATAATGGTTATAATAAATAATAATAATAATAATAATAATAATAATAATAATAATAATAATAATAATAATAATAATAATAATAATAAAATAATTATTATTATAATATTTATAATAATATAAGAATATAAACATCAACAACAACAACAATAATAATAATAATAATAATAATAATAATAATAATAATAATAATAATAATAATAATAATAATAATAATAATAATAATAATAATAATAATAATAATAATAATAATAATAATAATAATAATAATAATAATAATAATAATAATAATAATAATAATAATAATCATCCTCAATCATTATATTCTACTTTTGCACGTACTTTCGTAGAGAAAATTCACCACAAGAAAACAAATTTTCATTTCTACGCCTACATAAAACTAAAAATATTCTTTCATCTAGACATATTCTCATTGTCACACAAAAACCAAT